CCCCAAAACCCCAAAACCCCAAAACCCCAAAACCCCAAAGATAAAAATAAAAAATATCAATAGCATCAAAGAATGTATGTATATTTATTAAAATTAGTTTTTTACAAAATTCAGCTGACTTCATTCATTTCGACGTCATTATATGCCTACTCTGGTTCAAGTGATTTAATGTTTAGTGGTTGCCCGAAATTGAATTTACCAAACTTATTATTTTTCTTTTTGGTGACTATATCACTAAGTTTGAATGGATTAGGATTTTGCTATATTTCAAAAGAATCACTTATCTCTACATCGAGTTCTTTTATTGGTTAATTCTTATCATCATCAAGGTTATTACTTGACCTAGCCTCAAAGGTTTAGTCCAGAGAAGGTATTTCTGAGACAAAAACATTATTATTCCTCGACTAAAATGCACTTTAATTTTCTGATCCCTTTTTAATGATACTCTCGGGTTGATCGAATGGATTCTTCCAGTTAAATTGACCATATTCATTGTTGTTTGTAAAGAAGCCAACCTTTTGGCTGGGAATATCCGGAATATTTGAGAAGTTGAGATTCCTGCTGTCATGGGGTTAAATTGATTACTCCGTTCTTCTTTCAAGGGAAGATTGGCAATAAATTTGAGATTTGATCCTTGATTTATTTTGTTATTACTTTTAAAGCTCTCGCCTGAAATCGAACATGCTTGAGTCAGAAGTTTACTGATCTAATCTTGAGAGTTGATCTTGTCTTGAGACATGATCCAATCTAGATGGAGAAGCACTTGCTTAGTTTTGATGTTTTTGCTTTAGTTGATATTCAATAAGATTGATTAGGAGCTAGAGTAAGTTGTAAAAATTTGATTGAGAGTTGAAAAATATTCTGTGCTTCTAAATCTTTTTTAGAATCATTCTTAGCTAAATTTATCTTCCAGTGTCTAAAACTATTTCTTAGCTTATTAGAACTTAATTTAGTTAATGGATTAACTTCATTTTTTCTCGTTCTATTAACTCCACTAAGTCCTTTTTAGTTTTGATCAGTTTCATAGGTTCATCTACTTTAAGAATTATGAGTGTATTACAAAAAAACTTCATTGCCCTCACTTCATTTAATTGCAGATTATTTGTATTAGTTAGTAAGTGATGAAACTCTAATTGTCTGAATATTTGAAAACATTGATCTTTTAGCTGTTTATTCATACTCAAGGGTGTACTTTAAGCTTATTACTGTTGCTTCGAATGAGCAGGAGTTTTTTAAGTAATTCTAAGTTTTTTGGCTGCTGTAAGATCTGAGCTATTAAATTTACTTGGCCCCTTAACAACTCTCAAAGTTTTATACACCTAAAAAGTAAAAACATTAGCATAATTGTCCAAAAATTATAATAAAAAAGTTAAATTCTGAAGTTACCTGCTATCTCTGTTTTTATGGAGATTAGTTTTAACCAATTGTTTGATAATTTGTGAAAAAACTCCCTCCCTCACTTGTTATATTTGGAATATGCTGCTACTATGGTAATGCAGATTCCTCATCTCCAACTTTAAATATTTATGAACAAATAGCTTACAGATGAAATCAAAGATGTCATTTTCTGTAACATTCTTATTTCTTGAATTAATTGGATTACAATACCTATCAAGAGTAGATAGCAAATATTTTTAAAAGACCATGCTATTAGGGTGTTATTACTGCTATTACTCTTGTTAGATGGCTAATCCAATGGTTTAGAACAGATTCTCCTTGTTTATGGATCTATTTATTGCGTAATTCATTTATAATAAATCTTTAAAATAAAATAAAATGACTTTTTTACAATTTACTCATTATATATTTTCATGTATATGGGGTTTTGGGGTTTTGGGGTTTTGGGG